AATAAACTTTCATAATAAGCACAAAACCAGATCAAAAACACAAAAAAAATGTATAAAAAAATCATTATTTTAGCTAGGAGTGGCACTTTACTTTTACTTTACCTGTAAATAAGTAAATAACCATTTACTATTTACTTTACCTTATTTACGTAAAGTAAAAGTAAAGTAAATGTGCCACCCCTAGTTTTAACACTACGCACGAACTTTTTCCTCGATCTAATACATTATTCGTCTTAATTGATTGTCATACATGAGGCAGCAATGTGTTGCATCCCATTGACGAAATTTAATCAACGAAAGCGCATGAAAAATGTTGCATTATCATGTAATTGCATCATTATTTTACCATAGTGTGATAATGCATTGCAATGTTCATTATTTCCGAAAAACGGCAACATGGGAAGTTTCTTTAACCATATATCGAACATGTTACTCGCGACGTGCAGCAATCTCAAGAGCACTCTCAATCTTTCCAAAGCAATCGGTCGCCCTCAATTTCTCAAAACTGAAATTCAAACCAAAACAAAACACTCAAACCTGAATACTACAATGCGCATGCGGCCATCAATATCAACAATTGCAAGAAAAGGAAGCATCAACGCAGTACTTAACGGACAACAGCTACAGATCTAACCAATTAAGACAGCACGCAGGATCAAAATAATACACGCATCTTTGAGTTTCCTCGCAAGCAGTTCACTTCGCCATGATTTGGATTTAAATAAGGTTTTTTCTTTCGGAAATTTTTATTTTGAATTAAATCTGATGGAATCATAAGCCATCTGATGATTCTTCTTTAGCAGAAGATGAAACTAGTGATGACAGCTCTACTCATCCTCAAATCGTTTCTGCTGCATAAATCAGTTTTTGCTGCGCGCAGTTTTCCGCATAAGTTTTTAGGGTGAACCAATTGCAGCTCATTTTCCACTATCGAATGTATAAAAATTTCGTGTGTATCCGTAGCTAACATACTAATTCCTCCCGAGAAAACCGTAACAGGTGTGAAAACATAATGATTATGTGTAAAACATCGCAGGAATTTTTTTCTAAATATCTCTTCAAAGATTAATCAGATTGCATTACAATTGTGGAGTTTTTGATTTTTACATACTATATATCTACTAGGAACTTTGCTGCACTCAATTGTATATCTATAATTTGAAACATGTCCTGTNTGAATTTCTTCTCAGGACACAAATAGCACATCTAGAACCGTCTGCAATTCTGACTTTAATGAATGGTCGTTTACTACAAGTCTCTGGTTTAAACACTTACACTTATAGACATACAGAGATAGTTACCACGCACAGATAGTCAGTACTACTAGTTTTATAGAAAGATTTGTCGCTCGCGGCCTTCCCAGATTCTTATTATCTAAGCTAGTGATGTGCCGAAACATATTCGAATAGAGAGAAATGCTGAACACTCTAAACGCATGCGAAGGAAAGAAAGAGAAATACCGTTTCGTTAGCACCGTTTCTTTCTTTCTGTATTTTCAATCATATTCGAGTATTGGGAAAGAATTTCGTTTTCCTGTTACCATGCAGTTCTCTTTCCTGTACCGAAAAAACGAAATAATCGATTATTACGTAAGATATATACGATAATTGAATATGAGCAAGAATTTATATGTATTATTGAATTCCCCAACGGTGGGAAAATGAAATATCAGGGTGACAGCTATAGACCTGTGTCGCCGCTGACCATCCATATTTTACCTTGCGCAACACAGAGGTAACTGTTTTATATCGTCATTGAATTCGATTGTGATGTTGACTAGACCGAAAGTAACATTATTTCTGTGATGATCTTATTACAATAGACAGCCCTTTTCATTTACTTCTGTGTACACATCGTTCGTCATCATTATGGTTAACTCAAGACGTGTTCGTTCATTTAATATAGCATAAACTAGTACTGATTCCTCACAAATATCAGTTGACGGTTCAACCATACTTTCTCCAGAAAGCAATACAGCAGATGTCAACGCGTTATTGCCTTCTTCAGTCGCCAACACTCCTAGACGACCAGTCAAAGCAAAATGTAGTTTAGTATGGCGCTATTTCAAATCCGTAAATGATGAATCTCATGATGCCGAGTGTATTTTATGTGCGTGCATCGTTCCTCGTAGATCAACATTAACTTCAAATCTTTTGCATCATATCCGAGCTCATCATACCAATGAATTTCAAATTGTTAATAAAAGTATGAAATCGAGAACAAAAGGAGCAACTCAACGTTTACCTTTGTCAAGTGATCGATCATCACATTTAACGAAATTAGCCGCCGATTTTATTATTTGCAATTTATTACCTTTGTCTCTGGTTGAAAGTCCACAATTGCAATTTATATTTCAAGAAGCGGAGCCCTCTTACGTATTACCAAAGCGAAAGTATTTTTTGGAAATGTCTTGAACCAAATGTATAATGAAACACGAAAGAAGGTTCAAAAAGAACTTCAAGCTGCATCAGGAAAGTCTTTCATATTTATAATTGGCAGCATCTTACCTACTTATTCGTCTTTCTAGGTGTATGTCTGACAACTGACATTTGGACGTCACAAGCAAATCAAGCGTATATGACGCTCACAGCTCACATTGTTGATGTTGTCGCTGCCA